TAACTAAGCTGAAAAGTTTACACGAAACTTTGTGAACATGAAAGTAGTTTTGAAGGTAACCTCAGTCACAATTTGTATGACAATAGTTCCACATCAAATTCAATGGAGAAAATGGTGTTGTCTCCTTTATAACTGGTTGAATACCGACTCTTTTTTAAGGTACAAACATGATCATTCTAGAATTAGAATAAGCTGTGTTGGGAGCTCTTAGTATCTCACTGATACCAAATGGTCAAGTAGCTGCTACTAGAAGTACATTTTAGAGAAGGGGAAAGAGTTATTCCTTTTTAAGGTATAGTATGACTTAGGTGGGATTGCAGTGCTCTAAATTTCAAGCTCACTTCCTTAGCAAACAAGATCCAGAACAAGTACAATATGTAAACCTCTTCCTCTTTATAACTGGTCTCAGACATTGCCAAAATGGGCTGCCAGCAAAACAGTAGAATACTAGACGTATAGCCAAATAGGGAAAATAATTGGATAGGGGAGTTTGATAAGAAATCTACTCCCCTAGCCAGTCAGACCCTATTTTTGCCAAATTCTACCATCCTAACCCCCACAGAAATGCCTGGTGGAGGCTACAGTTACCCCCTTAGAAAGGCCTGGTGTAGGCTAATGAACTCCCTACAGACTTGCCCTGGTCTTCAGGTAGTTGCTGATATTGGTGGCAAAATGAAACCCTAATTGTAAACCCGCTCCCCTTGCCAGTCAGTCCCTGTTTCTGCCAAATTTTACCACCCTAACACTAGGTGGAGACTAGTGAACCCAGCTGCCTACAGACTTGCCCTGGTCTTCAGGTAGTTGCTGATGTTTCCGGCGTCGCGTGCCAGCCAGGCGGCGTTGAGCCGGATGTTCTCGCAGGACTGCTGGACGGTTCGCTCGGCCGCCGGCGCGGGGTGCTGCCTGAAGAACTCCTCAACCTCCCGGGCACGGGACTCCTCCACAAACCCACTGGTGCTGAACTGGGGAACACATCGCCATGGAAACGGGTTAGTAACAAGCATAAAACCACTGGTACTAAACATTGCCATGGCAACTTGTTAGCGCAAAGGCAGTGGTATTTTACAGTGCAAAAACATCATCACAACAGTCTGGAACAAAACTGAATACACAAAGGGCCATGGCCAATGGTTAATGACAATTACTAAGGCCACACTTAATTTTATGGATGACATCCTCTGAAGACCCCTAAACTTGTGCGTGTGGGCAAATAGAATAAAATTCTGGCCAAAAATATGGAATACAAAGCTGGTATTGTGAATTTGCGGTTACAGTAGTACATAGCGACTTTTACGACAAGCCGGCACATGCTGGCTTTTCGTGGAATTTATGAATCGGCACTGTATGTATGTACTGAGTTCTTGAGTTGTGAAGCTTTGGCAGCCTTGGTGCCCTTTATATACCTGGACCAGCCTGGCCAATAAGAAACCTCCACTGAACCAACCAATGATGTGGCTTGGCCAATAGGAAGCCTCTACTGAACCAACCAACCAATGAGAAGCCCTTACCTGGACCAGCCTGGCCAATAGGAAGCCTCCCTGGTAGCGCGTGTGCAGCTCGTCCCAGCGGTCCTGTACAAACTTCCAGGCCAGCTCGCGACCCTTCAGGCTGGAGGTCGCGCCTCCGATCACGAACACGGTGTCCTGGGAGCGCACCTCGCTCTGAAACAACAGTACATTACTATCAGGCAAGGGCAAGTCGGCAGAATGTCCTGGGCGAAACACTGATTCTTCAGGGTCAACGTTGCATCAGAATTTTGCCTGTTGCGGATGATATCTTTTCTGACACAATATTGGAAACTACAGACGGGATGTTAACCTTACATACACGAGTACAACCTTACATGCGATGTTCTGCTTAAGTGCTATGTACATTATGGGCTTCGTGCAGGTTCAGTACGTTCTGCCGTATCTCAGGCAAGGGTGTAGTGGAAATAATGGACACGGAAACATAGCTTGCTAAGGCACATTCAGAATACAATTTCTCATAAGATTCTGAGCAAGGCTATGACATGAACCTAGAAACTTCCAAGAATGTGCCCAATCTGTTGTAAATCTATGGTGCAACAGATATGAACAGGTCCCACTTTCCCACTGGTTTAAAAAGGAAGAAAATAATCAATGTACTCACTGAAGATGCCTGATACAATAGTTGGGCAAAAAAACAACATAAAGCAAAGCAAAAGCTAAAGGTGGAAACAGCTCTTTACTGTACATGTCCCTCTTAGGCCACACCAATTTAATTTCTTGGTTAACGGATTTTTCTAGAAAAATAATGGAGCGGGCGGGCGGAAAGAAAATAAAAACAAGAAGCCATAGGTGACAATCCTCCGTGAAGTTTTATATATTTCAACAAAAACAATCCCAAGCGTCAACGCCAGGCCTACTGTGCAGACATTATAATTAGGCAACGGTTAATACAATGAGGGCGCGTCACAAGCATAAAACATACAAAGAGCTAAATCCATTACTGCTCCCAGGGCGTGTAAAGATACTGTGCTTCAAGTTCGAAGTTCATTTTAATTACACACACACAATCAGTGCATTCACATAAAGATCGGACTATCATGGTCGTGTCTAGTAACAAAGACAGCCCCACCGTCTTAGGGACTGTACGATATTTAGGCGGGGGGGGGGTCTGGTGCGTAGGGGGGGGAGGGCCATGGAAAAAATATTTGGCATATGGGGGAGGGCCATGGAAAAAAATCGGGGCTGGGGGGAGGGCCATGGAAAATTTGTTTTACGTATCCGTCGTACGATCCTACGTTCCTAGCTCTGAAAATGTGCAATGCTTCTCGGAAAAGTGTCCCTCAAAATGCAGGAAATAATGTTCAGAGGGTCAACTTTTACACATTTTTCCCGAACTCTCGCGCCTTCGGCGCTCGACAGAATCTTACGGCAAACAAAATTGAGATGACGGACGGGAAAAATCAGGCTGGCTAGAACACTGATTATTGAAAAATAACAAAAAATGAATACTAAAGCATGTAGGTCTAAGACTA